GCCACAGCATCTTGTGCCCCAAGGATTCTCCCAGAGGACTGCTAGCCTGTCTGGAGCATCAGTGAGCTTTCTTTCTCAAGATGACAAGCCTAATACACGAGTAGGGGCTCAGGGAAGTGGACTCTTAGAGACTCTGTTTCCTGCCAGGTGTTTCCAGGGAGGAGAGGAATGGGCTTACTTTCTAAAGTAATTTCTCCGTGACTGTTCAGCCAGGCTGTGTTAAGTGTCTGGAGGCTAGGGAGGAGCTGGCTGAGGGGAAGTCACTCTCCAGGCTGGGGCAGCCGTACTTCCTGTGACCTTGGAAATTAGTGTTGGGGCTGGAAGCCTACAGGTGCTACCTGGCCAAGGTGAGGCAGGAGGTGGAGAGGCAGAAGAGGGAGCTGGAGGAGCAGGAGGGCAGCTGGGTCCTCAAGTTCCTCCTCCAAGGCAAAGCGTGGAAGGTTTTGCACTCTGGGACTTGCGCTAGTTTTGTATTGGGCATAGCAATCCTCACAGTTATTTTTATGCTCATATATTCTAATGTTTGATAATTTGGACTTTGAAGAAGTTTCTAAAGGGTTCTGCAGGATTCTCAGATATCAGCATCACCTATAGAAAACCATGCTCCTGGTCTGCCAGACTTTGCTGCCCTGAGCCTCTTCTGTTCCCCATTTAGAATTCTGGTTGGGATTAGGCAGAGTTGGGGGAATCCTGCAGAGCAGGGGCAGGAAGGATCAGAGGAACCAGAGAAGTCAGGAAACACAGCCCATAGACTCTACTGACTGGGATTCATGGGGGCTCACAGAGATCAGGGAGCCTGTAGGGGTCAGACCTACTTCCTCTGCATATATGTTATGGCTACATAGCTTGGTGTTCTTGTGGGATTCCTAACAGTGAGAGTAGGGGCTGTCTCTGACTGTTTTGCCTACTCGTGGGACCATTTTCCTCCTACTGGGTTGCCTTGTCCAGCCTTGAAATGATAGTATGCACCCTGGTCTTACTGTAGCTTACTATGCCATGTTTGGTTGATGTCCTTGGGAGGCCTCTTCTTTTCTGAGGGGAGGTGTGTGGGGATCTGGAGGAGAAGGAAGGTGGTGGGGGAAAGACTAGAGGGAGGGGAGGGAGGGAGCAACTGTGGTTGGAGTGTATGAGAAAAGAATAAAATAAATAAATACAACTCTATGATGTACTTTTAGCATATCCCCATATTCCCCATCTTTCTCCTCCCATTAGTTCCTCTGCTCCCCTAGAAAATGTCACTTCTTCCATGTCAGATAGACACACATGATTTTTATTTATCTCCATAAAAATTTAGAATCTACAAAAGAGAAGATATGCAATATAAAACTGACTTAATTTAATTAATGAAATTAACTCCAGTTGCATCTATTTTCTGCCAATAACATAATGTCATTGTTTTTCACAGCTAAATAAAATCCTATTGTGATGTCCACAGGTGTTGTGTGCAGGTCTTGTTTAGGTAACCATAGTGTACTAAGAAAGAGGCGGTCTCCTCCAAGGATGAATTTCCCAATAGGTTATCAATCCCATGTGGTCATCCCTAAACACATACACATAGTAACCATGATACATGGACTCAGCAGGTAGTATTTATGTGTACATGTGGGTATATAGGTATAATACAGGATAAGTGGTCATGAGGTTGAGAGGAAATAGGGAAGACATGGATGGAGTTAGAGGGGTTAGAAATGACGTAACTATAGTTGTCATACTAGAAATTCTCAAAAATAAACGTGAAAGGGTTCCATTGTGCTTATATATTATCACAATTATTTTTCTATTCTCCAATTTTAGACCACTTAGGTTGTTTCATAGTTGATCTGTTGTTAACAGTGCTGCCATAAACACTGATGTGTGGCTGTCTCTGTGGTGTGTTGACCTGTAGTCTTGGATGAATACGCTATTGTATATTTCATGTTTCAGCTTCCACCACACTGTGACACACAGCAATCATTCACATTCCCAAAGAAGAGGACACACTGGACCAAAACTGGGGAAGTCAGGTGTATTTTCATTCTATATGCTATAGCTGGATTACATGCGCTATCTATTTTTAGTGTCTTGAAGACGCTTCATGCTGATTTCCGTGGTAGCTGGACAAGTTTACATCCCCACCAGTATCCGAGGGCGTCAGGTCCCATGGCCCTGGAGCTACAGGCAGCTGAGAATGAGTGCTGGGAAACCATGCTGGTCCTCTGAAACATACACTCAGCTGCTGAGCCATCCTTCCAACCCCCAAGAAATTTGCATTTCTCAAATGGTTAGTGATGCAGACATTTTCTTATGCTAATTGGTCATTTGTAGTCCATCTTGAGAAGAGTCTGTGTGTTAGCTTTAGCTCATTTATCGGCTGTGCTGTTGGATTTCTTTCTATCAAATTCTAGCTGTTTCAAGGTATTCATCTGATTTCTTTATTTTTTGAGTTCTTGGTATTTCTGGATCTTAATCCTGTGGCAAATGAATGGCTGTGAAGGTTTTGCCCCACTCAGAAGGCTGTCTCTACTCACTCAGTGATTGTTTATTATACCACACAGAAGCTTTTGAATTTCATAAAACCCCATCTTCTAAACATTGGCATCATTTTCAGAGTGACCAGAGCCCTTGTGGAAACCCCTTGCCTGAATCTTGAAGTCGTTCCTTTGCTTTTTCTTCCAACTGTTTCAGCTCTTACATCAAGACGACGGAGTTTGAGCTGATTTTCACAGACTGAGAGGCAAGGGGTACAGCTTTATTTTTCTACACAAGGATACCCAGCTTTCCCAGCATCCCTTGTTATCTTTTCTTTTGTTGTTGTTGTTTCTTTGTCAAAAGTCACAAGGTCACACCTGTGGGTTTGTGTTGTGTTATGGAATATTAATTGATGATGTGTTACATTTGTTTATTCTATGAAACATTTGTTTAATGATGCAAAAATATGTTCTTTTATGTCGCATTTGTTTAACTCTGGGATGCTATGATACTTCACCTATCTAAAACACCTGATTGGTTTAATAAAGAGATAAATGGCCAGTAGCTAGGTAGGAGAGGGGCAGATGGGGCTGCCAGGCAGAGAGAATAAATAGAATGAGAAAAAGGGAAGAGAGTGCAGCAAGAAAAAAGGAGGAGAGAAGATACCCAGGGCCAGCCACCCAGCTACACAGCAAGCCACGGACTAAGAAACAAAGAAAGTTACATAGAATAGAGAAAGATAAAAACCCAGAGGCAAAAGGTACATGGAATAATTTAAGAAAAGCTGGCTAGGGCTGGAGAGATGGCTCAGCAGTAAAGAGCACTAACTGACCTTCCAGAGGACCCAGGTTCAGTTCCCAGCACCTATAAGGCAGGTCACAACAGTCTGTAACTGAAAGATCTGACACCCTCACACAGACATACATGTAGGCAAAACATCAATAAACATAAAATAAAAATAAATTATAAAAAAATTAAAAAGAAAAAAGAAAATCTGGTTAGAAATAAGACAAGTTAAGGCTGGCATACATAAGAAAAAATAAGTCTCTATGTAATTATTTGGGAGCTCAGTGGAGGATCTTCAAAAAAATAAAGGAGAAAACCCCCCACAGATTTGTGTCTGGGTCCTCTATTTTATTTCATTGATCTGTGTATCTGGTTTTATGGTAATACCATGTTTGGGGTTTTGTGGGGTTTTTTATTATTGTTGTTACTATGCTTCTGTAGGATAATATCAAATCAGGTTATTGAAACCCCCAGCACTGTTCTTTTGCTCAGAATTATTCTTTAACTCTCTGGAATCTCTTTCCTTCCATAAGAATGTTATTTTTTTCTATTTCTTTGAAGACCATTGAACTTTTGATGAAGACTGTATTGAACCTGTGAGTTGGTTTTGGCAGTACTGACATTTTCACGACATTCATTCTCCCAGCTCGTGGATATGATTCACCCTTCCATCTTCTGGTTTCTTCAGTTTCTTTCTCTGTTTTATGGTTTTCATTTTATTGGATAGCTTTATTCCAAGGCATTTCTCTTACTGACCGTGGTGCTGTCTTTTCCATTAGACTGACTGGCCAGAGAGCCCCGGATCCACCTGTCTCCCTTTCCCCCCAGTTCTGGAACTACAGATGTGCACCACTGAGCTTGGATTTTATGTGGACACTTGTTTGGCAAGCACTTTGCCCGCCCACCCTGCATCCATCTTCCCAACCTGATTTTCACATTTTTAAAAAAGATTAATTTTATATTTGTTTGTGTGTGCACGTGTGACTACAGTGCCTGTGGAGGCCAGAAGAGGGCGCTGGATCACCCAGAGCTGGAATCACCGACTTGTGAGCTGCCTGGTGTGGGTGCTGGGATTCAAACTCCGCTTCTCCAGCAGAGTAGTTCTCTGACCTGAGTAGTTCTCCAACTCATTTTCACCATTTTTCTAATGGCTGAAGAATTCAGGAGAATGATGTTCTAGTTTCACACATGGAAATTACATTTAATTCAAACTTCAGTGCTCATCAAGTTTTATGAACACACAGCCTCTTGATCACAGTGGCTTTTGCTGCATGTGGTGTTGAGTAGCTATACCGTTCTCTCCAGTCTTCCAAGCCCAAGATGCCCACCCACTGGCTCTTTGTACTACTGAACTTAGACTTTCTGGTTTCTGTGTTTCTTGACTGATGACCCTGCATTCCCTAGGGTGAGATCCACCCTGATCCTGTAGCCTCTTCACTCCATTCCCCATTCATGCCCAGGCCTCTTGACTCCACTCTCTTGTATACCTCAGAACCCCCTGCTTTGTGAACGCTGTCCTTACCCTTTCCTGGGGCTGGAAAGAGGACGGAGACCTGACTTTTACAGCTATAATGAGATCAGGGTGGACTTATGACTAAAATAAGATTCTGTCCTCAGCTTTGTGTGTTAACATCCCATCTGTAGGGAGTGGGGCACTAGGTGAGACACACCCATTGCTACACAGTCCAAACACCCTCCTTTTTGCAAGTCCCCAGTGTTATAGTTTTGAAAACGGCGGGAGAGAGAGTCACACCATACAACAGGGCTCACATGGGAGGTTTATTGGCAGAGGAGAGAGAAGGGGCAGAAAAAACGGGGAAAGAGAAGGGGCAGAAAAAAAGAGGATAGAGAAGGGGCAGAAAACGGAACAGAGACCTGTTTCTGGAGGCATGAGTGGTGGAAGAGGAAGAGACGGGAGGTGGATAAGGCCTGCCTTTTATAAGGAAACTTAGCCAATGAGCATGGGGGTGCTCTTAGTCGCTGCAGCTGAGGATGCATCCTGTCAGGACCCCAAGGGCAGGCCAGTCCAGATACCTGAATACTAACATTCCTCCTTCTTGTTTGTTATAAAAAGGTGGCGTTAGAAAGGGGTAGCAGGGATGAGGATGCTGTGTTCTCGCGACTGCTTCCTGCTGACCTGGGGGGCGTCGGTCATCTTTGGGGAACCTGGGATATCTGGGGTGTTGGCCATGTCCTGGGGTATCTGTCTGTTTCACTTCACTGTCCAGTCTCTGTATAACAGTCAAGCACCACATGTACCTGGCAAAATGCTGTTTGAAGTGGGTTCAAGGCGACTCCCTGGAGCTCGCGAGAACTTTGAATTTACACAGAGGGCGCAGTTGAGGAGCAGCCTGTCAGGACCCTAAGGGCCGGCCAGTGCAGATGTCTGAATACCAACACCCGGACCTTTATGATGGAACTACTTGATTCACCCTCACAACTTAAGAAATACGTTTTTTTTTCTTTCATACTTGATTCAAGGGAGTCAAATGAGAGTGAAACTGAGGTGCCCCAGTGCAGACAGAAATGTGAACCTTGGGAGAGGGCACTGATGGCAGAAATCACCTGAAAAGGCTCAGTTCCACTGGTTAACATACAAGTTAATTAAAATGACAATGAAAATCAAACCGCACCCAATAAGAAGGGCAGCTGCTACGATTTGGGAGCACAAGCATGTCCTGACTCTGCAAAGCATCCTAGCCACCCAGCTGCCCTCCTGCTCCTTCAGCTCCCACTTCTGCCTCTCCACCTCCTGCCTCACCTTGGCCAGGTAGCACCTGTAGGCTTCCTGGGACTCCCTGCAGCCATCGCTAAGGAGCACATGGGCATGAAGGAAGAGGTCATTGCTATGGAAAGAGCCCTCACGCTCCTGCTCCAGCCCCCTCACCAGGGCCATGAGCTCTGCCAGCTGTCCCTGCTGCTCTTCCCCTGAGGCCCTGTTATTAAAGGCACAGTACCTCCTCCCACACTCGCGGACCAGGCTGTGCAGGCTGTGGTTGTCAGTGTGGGTCACAAACTCATCCAAAGTCTCATCTGCCAGGTCTTCCTTGTGGGTGAAGAGGACGATCATGTGCCCCATGACTCCTGCCCCGAAGATCTCCTTCACCCTCCTCACGGCTATGGTGTCCTGAGCTGTGAAGCGTCCCAGCTGGGCCACCAGCAGCAGCACGTGGGGTCCTGGGGCACACAGCAGGTAACAATCTCCAATGTCCTTGTCCATGTCTTGGTTCTGGGCCTTTGACTCAAAGATGGGGGGCGTGTCTACCACTAGCAATCTCCTTCCCTTCCATGTGCCCGTCTCTGCCTGGCTGGTCCTGGTCACTGACTGGGCTCCAAGCCTAGACTCAAATGCTTTTCGGCCCAGGATGCTGTTCCCTGTGGCGCTTTTCCCGCTGCCAGATTTACCCACCAGGAGGATCCTCAGGCAGTCCGATTCTGCTCCACAGTAGGCTTCCCCGCTCCCTGTGGACGAAAGTAGATTTGTGCCTCACTCAGCAAGTCTTCGGGCTTTGACGTCCTGGTTCCTTGCAGATACCTCCTGAAATCAATTGTCCTCATTCCCAGAAAAATAGGTGCCATTCAAATGCTCCCAACTGTTTGCCTGTAATTTTAGGTGGTCCTTGGCTTTCATGAAGTCCCTACTGGGAGCCATGGGCAGGGGTGGGACTGCCACAGGAAGGAGAGGCTCTGTTCCATCTGGACCACAGCAAATGTGCCATTTCTGAAGAAAAGGTCCCTGTGTTCTCCCCTGGAGGATGCTCAGGGCAGCTCCCCAGAAAACTGGTTGTGAAATAAGTATGAGTTAGCTAAGGAGGAGGCAGAGATGAAGTCATGGATGACAGCCACCTCTTTTACCCACAATGCTCCAGACATACTGTGTGAATGTGCTCAGCATATCCGACCCCCCCCCTCACCCCGAGGTTATTCCAGGTGGGAGAGCTGCAGTGGCCCACACTCAGAGACAGCTGGATTGGCCCAGGAAGCAGAGTGGGCACTTGGATTTGAGGTGAGGGACGCGGACAGTTAACATCAGGGAAATGATACAAAGTGGGTGGCTGCAGAAGGGTGGAAGAGAAGATGGTTAGAATCAGAAGCAGACATGCTAGAAAGGCCATCCATTTGCTCAGCGTGGCCCAGGGCCTGTAACAAAAGGAGTGGTGGAGAGACACCATGATGCCAAGAGCTCAGATCTCCAGCCTTGAAGGGATGAGGACCCGGGGCTGTCCTGTGAGTCCAAATGAGCTTTAAGTGCCCTGACACTCCTAAAAATCTGTCATCTGGGGGAAAGTTGAGGGTGGCTCAGTGGTAGAGTGCCCATCTAGCATTGTAAGGCTTGGGGCTCAATTCTCAGTATCACAGAAAACAAAATCGAGCTGATTCCCTTTACTCTTTTAACTTCCCTTTGTGTTTTGGGGGTGTTCTATATAAGACATAATCACTTTAGGGCAACTTTTCTTCCTTTCTTCCTTCCTTCCTTCCTTCCTTCCTTCCTTCCTTCCTTCCTTTCTTTCTTTCTTTCTTTCTTTCTTCCCTTCTCCCTCCCCCTTCCTTCCCTCCCTCCCCCCCCCCACCCCTCCCCCCCCCCCGCACTCACTCTCTCTCTCTCTCTCTCTCTGCTGAGAGGAGATGAGGGAAGAAAGAGAAACTCTGTCGCTGTTTAGTTGCAGGCCCTTCTAACCCTGAACATGTGTCAGAATCACGTTTCACCACATCGTGTGGAGGAGAGCGTCACAGTGGAGTGTGTGTTTGCAAGCATGTGAGTCTCTGTGCATGTATGTCTCTGTGCATGTGCATGTGTATGCCTGTGTGTATGTATGTATGTGTGTGTATGTGTTCATGAACACAGCAGTGGCTTGGACACAGAGATCTGGAGACACGGGGAACAAACAGCAGCTGTCTTCTCCTTCTTGATCTTTACTGAGTGTGTGAACCTGTTTCCCAGTCTCAGTCCCTTTAGGACCTTGGTGATTTCTTACCTTCAACAATGGCTTCATGTGTGCTCTTCTGGAGGCCTTCCATTTTCTTCTGAAACCAAAACAGAAAAGAATTAAAGTCACATCCACGTGGGAGCTGGCGAGGTGCTTTGACTCAGGTAGCTCAGGGTAACTGTCCTCGCATGGCCATTTCCCTGGCTAACTCTCGCACCTATGTTGACTGCAAACATCTGTAAGTAACTGGCTGGGGTGAGCAGGGGCATTGCAGCACAGTGTGCTATTGCTCCTCCTCACTCGTGGGAAAGCAGATGCTTCCCTGCAGAAGAACTGATGATCTCCACCAGGCTGGAAGTGTGAATGTGTGGAGCACTCCTGTATGAGCAAGAACTAGACAAAAAAAAAAATACCTGGACCAAAGTAGATGAACCTGCCAGGACAGAGGAAATAATTGCTGTACTGTGAATAACAGTGGTTTGTTTGAAGTATCAGGCATTTCGAGCGTAGGAAAAGTGTTCCAGAGGCAAAGAGGCAAATACAGCAGGCTTTCCCTGGGAGGATGGCAATTCTTCCAAGAACTGACCTGGGAGGAAGGAGAGCAGGAGGACTGGCTGTCTCCCCACCCCTGGAGATGGTGGAAAGAGACTGGGATACCATGATGAACAGAGTCAATATACAAGACAGGATAAAATTCTCACTGGGGGTTTAATCACGCATCTTCCCTGCTTGGCTTTGAAGTCCTGCTCTGCCAAATAATCATGGATTTTGTACTTTAGCACATTCAGTCAGAGACTGGATGACCATGCTGTAAATGCTTTCTGGTTTTGGTGTGAGTGGTGTAATATTGTGTCTCTGGCTTTGGTGTGATGGAAAGAGAAGCATGCAGCAGGAAGGGCTAGCCTGTGACACCAGCCAAGAGAAGCATGCAGCAGGAAGGGCTAGCCTGTGACAATCCTGCACGAACTCTCATATCAAATTAGTCAGCTGGTTTTTAAAAGATTGTAGTTTTAAAACATATTTGTACTTGGAGAAATGCACATGAAAAAACATAGAATAAAAAAAGATACATAGTAAGAATAAATTTCAAAAAACATAGACTAAAAGCAAACAGCCACCGTTTACAATGAACGGGTATAAATGGCTGGCTGTTCCTGGCTGTTCTCCTGCAGTTGCACCACCTGAGAAAAATCAAAACATCACAGACGTACTTCAGGAATTTTGGGTTTTTCTTCTTTTAACCTCCTGTCTCATTCTCTCATTCCGGCCTCCACAGCAGTCAGTTTTATGATGTTTTTAAGTATTTAAGTATTTTAAGTAGTTAAGTATTTGCATATGTATTTACATTCTTAGACAATTCTCAGTCCTGTTTTTTGCATGTGAAACTTCGACATGAATGTCCTTTTTGCAACATCTTATTCATTTTCTATTAATAGACATCAAACTGTTCTGAAATCATTTCTTTTCAGAACAAAGATAATCCCCATAGCTACCCCTTGGCACCTCTGTTGAACAGCTAGTTCATCTGGGGTACACATTTTCTGATGGCTGGATATGGCCAGGTTTAACTCTTGAGTGGATCGAGTCAGCTCTTGCCTACCTAGTCTTCCAAGCAAACCTCAAATCTCCATAGGACTCCAAGATGGTCTCTGCATTTCTGTCACTCTTAGGACTTAGGACTGGTCATCCATGAATTTGGGACATGGCAAGGCTTATGTGCTACCAATAGTGCTTCTGCTATTTTGTCTTTCACAATTTTATTTTGCAAAGAAAAAGGCTTTTCTTGGGTCTCTTCATAAAAACCCATTCATTCTTTCCACATTTCCAGAATATCTTAAGGCATCTCCCTCTCCTCCTCTACCCCCTTCTTTTCCTCTGTTCTGCTCTGCCTGTCCACCTCTTTATCCCCCCTTCTCCCTACCCTGCTCTTCTCCCCCTCCTTTCCTTGCACCCAGAGAAGAACATACTTCTCTTAGCTCATACTGTTCTTACCACTGTAAGCTATACCCTGTTCTTAGGAAAATTCTTCGAGTCATAGAGCACCGTTTCTACTCATTGTCCGAGACTTGACTGTGAAGGACACAGTGCCAATGGCGATGAAACTGAGCTTCCCCGCCGTGACTTCCCTGCAGACACTCATCGTATCCAGGCTTCTTGCATGCACATCTTTTTCTTGTGTTCCCTGTGCTGTTAGTGACAGGCCACCAGGATTTCTATTAAAGTTACATGAGCTGCCCAGAGTCACACATTTGCCTTATAGCTAACTCTCCCCAAATAGCTCTTTTTGTCTGTGTTGTCTCTTGGACTTCTCACCTGCTACATCCACGGCTGTCACGCCAGTTTAGCAGAAATGCTGACTGGGCAGGCAAATATTGCCGGAAGGATTGGGATTCGTGCTTCTCGGAGCTGTGTGTTCCAGGCGGTCCCTTGGCAATCAGTTGTGGTGTAATGCCACCTGAGTCGCCATTTGTACTGACTCGACTTCGCTGTCCTTGGAGCCATAATGTGTGTCTTTTCCCTTGTCTGTGTGTTCTTTGTGATCCTTACATATTGCTAACAGATCAGACTATTCCAGGCAGTTGTGGATATAAACAAGACTGCTGAGGACATTTTTGAATTCTGCTCCACTATTAATTAAAGCCTTAAAAAAGTAGCCAGTTCTGGGAATTGTCAGAATCATCATTAGGACAATTCCTTGATGATGTGGAATAAAAGGAGTTAATCTTAGCAGGAAAAACCTTAGAAGCCGTCTACAGGAAAACAGCATTAGGCATTTATGTACAACTTAACAGGAGGCCTATGCAACCTTCCTTATGGCCAGAAAACCTAGGTTAATTACAACATCTGACCCTGAGAGTCGGGAAGGGAAAGGAGTTGAGATTAATGGTACAAAATGAGTCTCAGAAAGTTTTTCCAGGAAGATAGTAGCCTTCTTCTTCTTTCTCACCCAGACACACAAGGTCACTTAGCTGAGCCCAAGTCAGCCACCTGGTACAAGCTAATAAAGATGGGCTAACTCAAGAACAATGGTCTCTCTAATAACAAGAAAAAAGTAGGGGTAACTTTACAAATGTAAGGAAGCAAAAGTCCTTGTACCCATGCCAAAGCATCTTCAAAGATTCTCTTTGTAAAACTGTTTTGTGCTGATCTTTTCTATTTTATAATCGGATGATGTATGCCTTTACCAAGTTCTTTGTCTGTAAAAATATAAATACCTCACACTAAGAGAATAAAGACGCAGCAGTATGCCTCATTGAGAATGACTGTCTGTCAATTTCCTCGCCGTATCCTGATTTCTCCTGTGCCTTCGCCCTGATTCCCCACGGTCTGAGTGGCTCCCCTGAGCCGGTCCGTGGCACTCACCCACTGGGTAGTTGGGGGAGATAATCCCTAATAAATCAATACGCCTGCTGTCCTGGAACCCTGTGTATGATGCTGCTGTCCCATGTTCTGGCCACAAGCTGGAAGTCTCTCCAATACCAACACAGAGAAAGAAGCATACTTCTATATCTAAGTTCATGTTTTCACAAAACAAAAATACCATTTGCCTCCTGCCAAGAATCACTCAAAGGTGTGATTCTGTTTTGTTTTGAAGGATTTCAGTTAGAACCTGGCTTGATTCTCAGTGTCACTTGCATGTGTGCAATGTGGCTGTCACAACCAAACTCAGCAACATTAGAAGGGAAGGTTCTGAATTGGTTTCCAAAAAATCAGACTGACTGTATGAGACATATGTCCCACTAAAGGACAAATTCGTTGACAGATATAAGCAAATGCCCAGATGCCCAGAGATGAGACAGGGCGCATGAGAAGGAGACACTGAAATGGTCACACAGGAGAAGAGACTGACAACAGCCTAGGAAAAGGGAGGGGAGGGGAGGGGGCGTGTGAGGGGCACGAAGGGATGCTGTGGCTGTCAGCCGGCAGTGCACACAACAGGGGGGCGATGGAGAACGGACACGGATCTCTGCTCCAAAAGGAAAATTCTGCTAATTTTCCGCAGCGTGGGTGCAGAGGCCACAGGAGATTGGCAGGCAGTGTGTGAGCAGCAGGGGGTGACCAGGGGGCAGGTGTCACTCAGGGAGAAGGCAGAAGCAAACACACGAAGTGAACATTCTTGTCTGAAACCAGCCGAGCTGATTTATCCCGATGCTTTATTTTACCCAGGAGTGAGAACACAGCTGGGGATCCACTGCATAAGAGACGGTCTTTCTGTTTCCTGTCTTTCTGCTTCCTGATGCGTAAGAACCAGGCTGGCAGCTATGACACAAGGGGTAGAGCAAGGGCTGCACAAGGTTGAGGACTTGACTCTGAGACCCAGAACGCTAGTGAAAAGCTGGAGATGCTTGCCTGCATCCGCAATCCCAATGCCACACACAGTGAGGCAGCCGGTGACGACAGGGAAATTGGCCAGAAGCTGTCAGGCCAGCAAGCCCATGGTGTAGCAGAAACAGGAAAGATGCTGTTTGCACCGGGTAGAAGGGTAGAAGTTGCTTCAGAAAGTTGTCCTCCTACAAGTGTCCCATAGCACCGGTGTGTGCTGCACTCTCTGACACAACTAAAAATAAAAACATCTTCACTGATACCTGCTCCACCCATCTGCCTCTCCCCTGGGCCTTTATATCCAGGTCCTGGGGTCACAGAGCAGGTTAGTGACCAAGAGTCCAGGAAAACCCACCCTCTCCCGTAAGATTTAGCTAACCAGAGAAGCGCTCACAGGAGTCTTGACCTCAAGGCTGTTGACCTGCCAGTGTCTTAGGCTGTGTTATGTATGGGCTACGCAGAATGGGAAGAATAGGGTGGTTTCTGAACAAGGTCAGGAGACAGAATTCACTGACTGGTCTTCTAGGGGAGGACTGCATCATGATGGAGGGAACACGGAGATTCCACCCTGGTCTGTAGAGCCTTAAGGCCCCATGCTGACCTCCTAGAGGTGAAGCCTAACTGACCTCAGTGGGCTTTGAGGAGTCTGGGGTAAAAATGGAGAAGAGTTCGCCACCTGCTGGGGATCTTGGGAAAACCTGCGGGCGCTGGGACTTTAGTTTCCCATCTGGCGAAGAGGAAAGAACATGGGTTCAGCTTGGTTAAACCAAGGGTTTCAGAAAGGCGCAGGCAATGGGCGGAAAGTCCCAGCATCCCCAGGGGTCTGGGGATGGTGACATAGAAATTTCAGAGCTCTGCCCCACCATATGCTGTGGCTGATGCTCACTTCACTGTCTAGGGCACCCAAAGTACCAGAGCTCGCCTGGGGGTTCCCTAAAGAGGAGCAGAACAGGTCCCCGTTGGTCCTCCCAGCCCCCAAGGGGCTGTCAGAGCCATGGTGGGTTCCTCCTTACCCGGGCCAGCAGGGCTCAGCCTCCAGTCACCAGCGTGGATCACTTGCAGGCAGGCTGAGGACCTGTGCCTGCTGGATGATGCTCTCACAGAATTCCTTTCTGTGAATTACGCAGAGCCTTAACTCCAGAGTCAGGAAAAGAAGAAAAAAGACGGTGACGCGGCACGCGCCACTGCCCCGCAGGCTGTCCCCTAAGTCGGGGGAGGGGGGGGGGAGCCTTGAACGCTGATCTGAAATCCGCTAGAACACAACAGAGCTGCCGTGGTAAATGGCCGCTTCCTGTGGAAAGCTGACAGGCCGCCCTGCCCTACACATTTCCTCTTCAGGAAGGTCTGAGCACACAAAGCATTGGGAGTCAGATGCTGGACGGTGGAGGAGAGCCCCGCCCCCCAGGTTCCAGAAAGACCTCTTATGACTGGAAAGTGCTGGGCCCCAGATCCCCCCCTTCCCCCTAGCACCCAAGGTGAGCATCTGCTCACCCACAAGACCCTGGGCCCCACATGACCACTTTGTCTTTAGGATGGTCCCCTAAACGGGGGCAGAAAAGCACTGCTGGTTCCAGAGGGCCTGGACAGCCCCCCCTCAAAGAGCAACTGAGCCCAGACATGAGACTGGGTGCTGACTGCCTCTTCTCTGCTATGTGGAGCATTTTTTACCTGACTGCACCTGTTAAGTATTGAACCTTGAGCATAAAACCCAGCTCTGGCTTATGCAGGTGATTCTCATCTCAGAAATCCCCCATGATGCTTCTGTGGCAGGGAAGTGTGCTTGGCTTTAGATTATGGATACTAGGATTTCAAGGGAGCTAACGGGGTGACACACTAAGAGACTGCAGTGAGGTGGGGGCCGGAGGGGAGAGTTTAAAACCAGATAGATGCAGTCCTCCACATCCATTTTCAAGAGAAGACATAATTCAAGCTGAGCACGGTGGTTTTTTCTTATCATTGTCAGAGAGCTGAAGCAGGAGGATTGCCTTGAGTTAGAAGGCAGCCAGGCCATCGAGTGAGACAGTCTAATAAGAAGCCATAGCTCTTCCTCCAGAGGATGTGGTAGCACCTTTATTAGTGTCACTGTCCTTTCTCCTAATCAGTAGTGACCAGCTGTGCCTTTATCCAGAGGGAAATGAGCTCCCTGCATCCTGAGGGCAAGAGGAAGGTCTGCGAGGAGAGGAGAGGGCGTCAACCTAAGTTAGAGCCGGTGTCCCTGCGGAGCAGGGTCTGACCTTGCTGATGTTTGCATTCCACCAGCTCCTTCTGCTCTTCACGTGGAGAGGGAAGAAAGATTTAAAAAGATAAACATCTCAAAGCAAAGGGGTATAGGAAGGACAAAGGGTCTAAGGACTTCTGTTTCTTTTTTTTTTTTTTTAAGAAAGAGAGAGAGAAAGAAGAAAAGAAAAAGAAAAGAGAAAGGAAAGAAGGAAAGAAAAGAGAAAGACTTCTGAGGAATGGTTCTGTTCCTGTTAGAGTTTTATCCATTTTGATTTTTATTCACTCCTTGGTTTTTATATTTTCACACAGTTTCAACCTAGCAGACAGCGCTGGAATGAGTTCGGTTTGGTTTGTTAGGGCAGGGTGGGAGGTGGGGAGGAAATCAACCACCCTGATGCCTCCTGGCAGGTTGTAAGTCTTCAGACAAAGCCAGAATCTCTCAGAAACCTGTCAAGAATTCACACATTAACACCCCCCCAACTAGAAATTGAACCCAGGACCCTGAGTTAGGAATACTCGATCCTCCTGCCTCTGCCTCCTGAGTGGCAGCCCATCTTGAAGTAATTTCTTTGTTTAAAGAAAAAGATGAAAAAATATTTGATAGCTTCCAAACTCGATATCTGTTTTCACAGAGAAACAAATTAAGGTCAAAGAAGTCACGTGTTTGTGTTCTCTAGAAAGCAGGCAGTGGCTCTTCTGTCCTTGTGACTGTTAGTTAGGGAAGCCAATTCCCAGACCCTGGGCTTTGGTTTGAGCACAGGAAAGAAACTCCTGGCCAGCTATCTCGTCAGGGATCTCTGTGGAAGGGAGGACAGGGGGACCCTAAGAGCCTCAGGTGCGGGGTGACTTCAAGAAAACAGCTTTCTAGACACAACAGGGCAGGTGCACACGTGATCACAGAGGCTGTGGCGGCACGCCCAACACCCGAGTAAGTGCAAGCCAGACATAAATGCCCCACCAACCAAGAAACTAGTCACAAATTATAACTTCTAGGGGAAGGAAAATCGATTCTCTTCAATAAAGTGACACTGGGTGTATCAGCCACACCCCAGGGCAGGCCTCATGCTCAGGAGTACTGACCAACAAATCCAGCTTCGTGTTGCTGTTAAGACATAAAAAACAAACAAACAAACAAAAAAACCATGAAATTCTGAGAGGAGGTAGGTGGTGAGGGGCTTGGGAGGACTTGGGGAAAGTGAGAGAATATGACCCAAATTTATTATATGAAATTATCGAAGAATAAGTTTTAAAAAGAAAAGACAATGCTTGTTCTCTTTGTGCTGTGATTTTCTCCCCATTTACAAGCTACCAGGAGTTCTCGCCGTTTTAAGGGAAGAATGAACCACAGGGACGATGAAAAGGTCTAAAGGAAAACTTTAGTCAAACAATTTTATTTTTTTTTTTAAAAATCCTCTGAATTATATAGTTAAAGTTGAGACTCATCACCTCCGAAGCCTTTGCAAAGCTGATAGATACCATGTTTCCCGCAGTACTGCGAGCTCTGAGCAGGGCTCTAAGTATTCCTTTTTTTAAAGATTTTCTTCCTAGTTAAAACATCTTCTAAGACCAGCATTATCTGCTATGCTGGTCCCCAATGGCCTTAGGCGTCTTTCTGTAGACCAGCAAGTAGATCAGGAAGGCCACACCCAGGAAAATAGCCACGCCCCGTCCCCAGCTCTTCCTGTAAGATTTCTGCCAGTCCCACAGCCCAATTAGCAGCCTGGTGCGCAGGGGCCTCTGCATGCGTCTTGCCACCATCTCTGCCACCTTGGTGACTTGGTCCTGGGGGTTAGAGCCCCTCAGGGTCCACACCAGATCATACACTTCATTGGAATAGTACGCGCCCCCGTGCTCCCTCACCAGGCTAGCGACCAGGCCCAGCAGCTCCTCAGCCTGTGCCTCGCGCTCGGGGCCAGTGGTTCGGTTGTTTAGGGCGCACACGCGGCCCCTGCACTCAGCCACCAGCTCCCGCAGCGCGCGATTGTCTGTGCATTGCACATAATCCTGCAGAGACTCTCCTGCCAGGTCCTCCTTGCGAGTGAACACCACAACAGTCCGCGCCATCACCTGCTCCCCGAACACCCGCTTCACCCCAGCCAGCACCTGGCTGTCCTGAGTGGTGAAGCGACCCAGCTGGGTGACCAGCAGCAGCGCGTGCGGCCCGGGAGACGTCTGTAGGAAGCACTGGGCTGTCTCCAAGCACGAAGGGTCGGTCTGTTGGACCTCAGAGCTGAAGACATCCGGAGTGTCCACCACCTCTACATACCAGCCGGCCCATTTCCTGTTGGCCCAGGAGCAGGATCTGGTAACAGGCACAGCCCCCAGCTTGGATATGAAGCACGTCCGGCCCAGGATGGTGTTACCAGTGGCACTCTTGCCGGTCCCGGTCCTACCTACCAGGATGAGCCTCAGAGGGGGCCCCCTTGGGGCCTGTGAGTCCTCCTCCAAGCCTGAGGACCAGATAGGGCAACACTGAATCAGAGACACGCCTGATTTTTTCCCTGGGACTCGCCTGTGTTCTAACCTTCAGCCCAAAAGGGGGCAAACCGCGGTGCCTGCTCCCCTTGGAAGCTGGTGCTCCCATCTGCTCTGGGCTCTCAGAGCTCAGGCTCCTCCCCATCTTCCCTCTCTGCCTTTGTATTCTCTGCTCCTGTAGGTGCTCCCGCTGCCTTTCAGAAAGTGTTCATTATAACTCCTGGGTCTACCAGGATCTCTGGTCCTGCACACACAGGCCGACCTGATGCTGATTTGACCCTAATGTTCCCCCCGCACAGATGCTGATCATCAAGCACAGGGGAGCACCTCAGTCTCAGGCACAGGTTGGATGGCAGCCCACCAAGTGCTTGTGTAAGAGCAGGAAGTACTCAGGCTAGGGCACACCTCTCCTACGGAAGTGGAGACAATGTGGGCCTCCCCCCACCCCGGGCTGTTAGAGAGGAGAGTTCACCTGCTTCCCTCTTTCTCCTCTCTTGTCTTAAGCTAGCTCCTAAAAAAGAAAATCCCCCATTTTAGATAATATATTATTACATTTTATCTATGGGGGCGCCATATCACTGTGCCCTATGGAAGCTAAAGGTTGAGTTTTAGGGGTCAGTTCCATCCTTACATCACGTGGGCTCAGGGGTTGAAGTCAACTCATCAGGCTTGGCTGCTTGTGCCTTTGCCCACAGTCATCTCTCTGACCCCCCCCCCCCAAATACTAAATACGCAGTTAGTCTTCTATTCTAACACCGGAGACCTGGTGAGTGGGGTTTACTCTAGTACTGGGTTTCCCAGCCTCTGTGTCATTTTTGTGGAGACCAGAGTAGGTTTAGGATCCTCCTTCATGCTGTGGGAACCAGGGACAGGGGTCAAAGCTGTGAGCTTCTCTCAGCAGGGCAGGGACAGAGACACAGTCAAATGGTCCTGCTGTTTCATCCCAGGGGCTTCCAGATCTGAGGAAGCTCCACCCACTTCCTACCCTTAGCGCCCACACCAGCCAGGATGTTGTTGAGAGAAGGGCTGTTACCATAGGTGCTTTCCTCGTCTCTTGCCATCTTCCTTCCTCCCATGCTTCTCAGGACTCTCGGTCACGATTTCCTCATTCATGCGCTCATTCCTGCAAACGGACAAAACCAACCACAATGGCAGGCTGAGTCTAAAGAGCAGGGGACACTGCAATGGCAAAGCAGGGCTTTAGGGGCCAGGTGAGCAGAGACATGGGGGGGGGGCTTTGTCACCACAGGAAAATCTGCTGTTCATTATCGATAGCATCTGGATTTCTGAAGAATAGTTTCCGGGGGGACCAGAAAGATGGTCGCAGTGCTAGCTTGACAACCTGAGCTTGCTCTCCTGAGCCCAGTAAAGAGGACGGAGAGAACCAGCTCCACGAAGTTGTCCTAGGAGTTTCTGAGCCCTTCTCTTTAAGCAACTTCCCTTCCACCAAAGATGTTCTGACTGTATAGTTATTTGATACAACCAAGCACGCTCTGGTCATGTGTGCCTGATCCCAGGAGTCCCTAAGCACAAAGCACAGTGTCCCCCCAGTCTGTTGCTCTAGCCTCATTTCCAGTGAACAGGCCTCAGTCTGTGACTGCACAGACCCCAGATTCAGTCTCTCCAGCCCTCTCTGGCTTTTCTCTGGTGAGAGCTCTGCTCCCACATTCTTGTCTGAGTGCTTATCTGCCTTTCTCCGTCATTTCAGAATCTATCTCTGTGTCTCCACTATGGGTGATGGGTTTCCTCCCACACTCCCCCCTGTGGGTACCACACACACAGAAAAGGAAGATGTTAACTCAACACCCTGTCTCCTGAAAGAGGGGCTTTGGGAATAGGTTGGGTTAACACCTCTCCCCTCTCCCCAAAGCCTTTAGTAGAACTCACTGTGTGGTCCTGTGTCACTGTTCTGGGTGCAGGAATCAGGAAGTTCCCCCAAATGATGTAGAAATGAAGAAGCTGCCACAAGACTGAGAGCAGCGAACAAGACTTCTGCAGGAGCTTGAAGACCTTGTCCTGGAGGGGGATGAGGAAGCATGTGCATGGACTCAGGGGAGGCCAGGGCAGGCCCCCAGGACTCCCCAGAGCTCAGAGTGGAAGCCAATAGTATTTTCAATGTTTTTTTTTAAGAGAAAAACAAACACTGAATGAAATCTTGGGTGGCAAATGGCTTTTATTACCTGGGAATATAAAGCAAGAACAGTTCTACATGCTTAAGAGAGCTCAGGAGTTATCTAGTTTCTTGCCTTGGTGTTTCTCGGAAATATTTAGGTGTTTCCCTCCACATCGCATCTCTTGGACCCATCCTCAGTGGTTCTGCTAGAACAAGTGGATCGTTCCTCACGAGGTTAATCCATACCCAGCATTTGAAAATGAGCTATTTCTCTAACTCTTCACTGTAGACATGAAAAAACTGTGAGGTCCCTATAGTTGGCGCGGGACAAATTTTAATCAGGAAGCAAAGGTTTAAATGACAGGTGCGGACAGGGCTTGATGGCCAAGTTCCATTCCTCTGAAGTGTGTTAGAGCCCGCCCCCCACCTCGCACACACATACAGGTGTGAGAATAAGAGACTTCAGAGGGGCGCAGACTTGGCACATCAAGGTTGGCCTTGAAAGCATGGTTTATAGAGACATAGAAGCATCTTCTGCGTTTGTTGAATGTACAGTTTGAGGAATGCTCTCTTCTAAGCCATGCTTTGCTCCTGGAATAGGATCTAGAATAGGTTTCTCTTACCGTATGAACGAAGTTTGGGAAGAGACAAGATCTGCCCATCAAGAATTTGTGTACTCCTAAGACTTACTCTGAACTTGCTCAAGTTGAAACCCAGGCCACCCCTCAGACGTCTGGACGCCAACTCTTTCCTGCGCCGCATGCGTTTGCACGCTGCATGCTGCTCCGGCGTAGTGCTTTGTAAAATGCAGGTGTGTAGGCAACAGATACTTTGCTCTCACAGCCCAGCCCCCTCTCCACCCCGCTCACAGGCTCAGGCTCACCTTTCTTGGTGACAGACTTTAAAGTGGCCCAGAGAAGCCCCAGAGAACTCCTGCCTTCCCTTCAGCCAGGAGTAAAGAGGTCTCTCGGTGCTGGTGCTGAGGGCGGAGCAGAGAGGAAGTCACTGGGCGGCCTGGGTCCCAGAGATCAGGAAACCCAGAGAAAGGCCGGATGATGACGGCTTAAAGAGACAGAAACATTTGCCATGCAGTTGTGGTCTTGGCATTTCCCTATAGAATCAAGCATTGTGACCAAGAGGTGTCTGTGTCCAGCGGGGTCAGTAGCATCAAACATGCTGCCATAGCCAGGGAAGAAGGGAAGGCAGATCTAGGGCTCCGAGGTCTCACTCTGTCCTAGATTTGGTTACTGCTAATCTTCAGTTTTCTTTTGCTCTTTAAGGATTTCTCTTACTATAAATTAGTTTCCAGGTTGAGACAGGAGGATGACAAATTTAAGAGCATTTTAGAGTACTCAAGAAGACTCCAGACTCTCCAGGTGTGGTGGTGCATGGCTGTACTCCCAACACTTGGGAGGCAGAGGCAGGTGGATCTCTGTGATTTTGAGGCCAGCCTGGTCTACAAAGCAAGTTCCAAGTCAACCAGGGCTACAAAGAGAAACCATGTCTCAGAAAACAAAACAAAACAAAACAAAAGACCGTCATCTCAAAAAAGACAAAACACCAAAGACTAGGGGTGTAACTCATTGATAGAGTATTTACCTAGAATACCCAAGGTCCTGGGTTCTATGCCCAGTTCTTAAGTAAACAAAAAAGGAAAAATTAAAAAAAATAGAACACCTAGTATCACTGAGGCTGATATTGGTTATTAGTGATTAATTTTTAAATCAGTGCATGCAGACTTCATTAGTTCCTATTTCACTAAGTAAACACTTTTTATCCAGAGGTGTGAGTTATTTTTGAATCTCTTTTAATGATGATTGGAATAATTGCATGATTTTTTCTTTTGATCTATTAGTATTGCAAACTATGCTGTTCCTATACGTGTATGTGTGTGTGTGTGTATGTATGTATCCTTGTGCATGTGTGCGTGTGCATGTGTGCATGCGTGTAAAGACTGGGTTCCAAGGCTTGTGGACTATTGAGGTGGGAGACAGAACGGTGGTGAAAGGAGCCACTAGGGAGTCATCTTGAGATTTATGGCTGAGAAGGAAAGGAAAGAACAGGATTGGGCAAAGACAAGTTAGACTGAGACACAGTCACAACAAGTGGTGACTCCACATGGCACTCTACAGTTTGCACAGATCTTGAGACTGAAGAAGAGGGGACTGGATTTTATAACGATTTTATTCTATCAGCTGGTTATTAAATGTAAACCTCCCCTGGAGAAAACACTTAACCTAGAGGCATCTCTCTTCAGCAGATGCAACCTCTGGGCACGGGCAATAGCCAGACACTGGGGACTGCCAGCTGACCAGCTGGAGGGAAAGCCAGTCTCTGGGCCATTCCTATAGGTTGGGCATGCTGATATTTCTCTTGTTCCACCCTTTGAGCTTATGTCTCAGCATAGCTTTAAAGATGTCCCCAACAAGCACAGACATGTCCAACTCAAGGGAGATCAAGGCAGGAAGTATCGTGAGTTTAAGGGCAGCCTAGGCAGTCCTCAAAATAAAAACTAAAAAGGGGTTTGGGGATATAGCACAGTGACATAATGCTTACCTAACGTGTAAGGCCCTAGGTTCATCCTCACTAGAGAGAGTGGGAACCTCCTCAAGGAACCTTCTTCCTGCCCCATCCTCTCCACTCTTGCCCTTGTAACACCACACTTAGAAGGAGCCTTGTCCCTGTGTCCTATAGCATCTGGCCATGTGGCCATAGAAGTCGACACATACAAGAGAGAAGTGAGGAAGAAGGACCAGACCGCAGCTGAAATGAGACAGCAGGGCCTGCTGTGAACTACTGATTCACAACAGTTCACTTTATTCTTGTGGCGTAGAGCAATTCTGGGAAATGATTCAGACCACAGACATATTAAGATATTATTGACAACCGTCTTGTGGTTTCTTGCACAGCCCTTGTTTGTGAAGAATTTCTGCTTTATCGAGCATTCTGCGATGACAGCCGTGTCCCCAGGGCTCGTGAGGCCCTGATGTTTGGCTGTGTGACTGGAGTGACAGGGAGACTGTGCTCTACATTTTCGATGATTAACGATTGCATTCGTGTGGCCGGTAGCTGCCCTTTGAGCAGCAGTTATATTTATTTTTCAGTGCTGGGGATTGAACCCTGGGCCTAGCACATGCATGCTAGGCAAGGGCTGTAGCATTAAACTGCATCTCTGGCCCTCTTTTTACCTCTCATTTGAAGACAATGTCTCACTGAGTTGCCCAACCCAGCCTTGAATTTTCTCCGTAGCTGAGGCATGCCTTCAACCTGCCATCTGCCTGCCTCAGCCTCTCCAGCTAACCGGTATCACAGGCCTGCATTACAGGCCTCCGGGCTTGGTGAAGGCATACTTTTTAGCAGAACGATACAGAATACTGTAGGAGGGAAGAGGCACAGGTAAAGATGTGATAAAAATTGCAAAGCAAAAAGAACAAATGAATTTAATATTTTTAAAAATCCCAAGCTGTGATGGAGGGATGCGTTACTGACAAGCTTTACAGGCTCCCTTGTAAGCTTCATTAGCCTGCTGTCCTTTGGGGAGGTTTAGACTTGGCATACTTTGTGAGGATTATGAGTTAAGAGGGTATTTAATCTGAAAATATCCAGACTCTCACAATAAGATCAATTGCTATAAGTTGCTCTCCCCCACACCCACTCTTTCAGAACAAACGCCACAGCAGCCAGGCTGGCGGTGCTCTTCAGAGAAGGCGGCTCTGTTGCCTGTGACGGGAAGAGGACGCAGAATAAACACAGTCATCCCCCTGCTTCTCCTGCGAAGAGTCTGCTTCATGTCAATTTGCTTTGAATCCTGAGACTTGGCACGTTGGGAAGTAAAGCGGTTTTTCTACTACAGCTCATTGCTGGCTGTCAGAGTTTCACGGGAGAGACAGGTGCAGAGCCAGACACCCCAGATGCGATTGTGAGAACACAGTGACGTCACTGAGAGGCGGGCACTGCTGGCACAGGAAGCACAAAGCTGTGTCCCTTGTGAGTTTTCCATCTGTGATGTCGGGTGTAAGTTACTGTCCTTCTCTCAAGGATAAGGGTCATGATGTAAAGACAGTGGCCACTTTCTTGGATCATTCACGGACGAAGCTTGGGTGGGGACGGTCCCATGTCTGCTCCAGTGTGCCATTCTCACGCTGCACAGACAGCCATCTCCTCCTCACCCCAAACCTCTTTTAAATGCGTGCTCAGGAGTGGATGAACACATATTCGGTGGTCCTTTTTTATTTGTGAGTTAGGGGCTGGAAAGATGGCTCATCAATTAAGAGCGCTTGTTATTCTTCCAGAGGAGTGGGTTCATTTCCCAGCACCCACATGATGGCTTGGGCCATTCAAAACTAACTATTCACAACTCAGTTCCAGGGGATCCAATGCCCTCTTCTGACCTCTGCCTTCTCCTGACCTCTGCTCTCTTCTGACCTCTTCCCTCCCCTGACCTCTGACCTCCATAGGCACCAGGCTTGCATGTGGTGCACATACATACGTGAAGACAAAACACTCAAACACATTTTAAAAGTCTTTATTTGTGAGTTAATATGATGTCATTCTTCATAAGAATCCACTCTCATATTGACTCTATTTTCTGGATGCTTGCAGAGGTGTAGTAGAAAGATGGAGGCATTTCAGCCATCACCCTCTGCAGGCAAACTTACGAGATTAGTGCTCATTCGATCGAGATAAGTGGTAAACTGTTAGGCTGGCATCTAATTGTCTTACACTTTACTTTATAGAAACCCTTGCTATATCGTTAGAGTTGCTTGAGACCAATTTAGAGAGGTTTGGATGGAATTATTAGGGCTTTGCAAAGGCTCAGGAATGCAATGATGGCTTCCTTCCTTGAGACTACAATGTAGGTCTTCTCAGTCTGGAGTTTTGCTATGTAGCTTTACGTTGGAAGTGTTCTATTCAGAACAAGGGGTCCTCTAGTGTGAAGTACAGTGTAGTGGGAATGGAGCAGGTTTGGTGGGAGCTGTGGATGGGTCAGGGCTTCTGTCTGCCGGGCTTGCAGACAAGTCCTTAAAGGCACATGTGAGGTGGTGCCTCTTACAGTCCCATCTGAGCACATTCGGAGCCCCTATTTCAGCGAGTGACAGGGCAGAGCTGCTATGACGATGCAATGGGCTACTAAAATGAAGTCTCTGTGCGTCTGTGAACTCAGGGCTCACACAGAATTTGCCTTCTTCCCTGTTAGCCCGGTAATGAACAGAGCTGTCCAACACTGCCTTTAGACTTTACAATGCTCTGGTGGTCTTGGGGAAGCAAACTCACCAGGGGAGGAGTGCTGCCACCTTGGGAAGGTGTGAAAGAGGTCACTCGTGTCTCCACAAGTGCACCTCGGTGCTGTGGAATAATCCTTCTGTACACATGAGAATGTATTACTCTCATTGTTAATAAAGAACTGACTGGCTGAGAGCCAGGTAGGAATTCTGGGTGAGACAACAAAACTAGGAGAATGATGGGAAGAAGGGTGGAGTCAAAGGAGATATCAGCCAGCCATGGAGGAAGCAGGGTGTGTAGAAAATGAGGTAACGAGTCATAAGTCACGTGACAAAGCATAGATATGAAATATCTAACTTAATTTAAGTGTAAGAGTTAGCTAGTAACAAGCTTGAGCTATCAGCCAAGCATTTGTAATTTATATTAACTCTCCGAATCAATTATCTGGGAAATAGCTGTCCGTTATTTGGGAGCTGGAGGCTGAGACAGAAACTCCACCTAGACCTCAGAGAACATAGAAACAGGTGACTATGGGACCCTCACCCCTTATTCTCAAAGGGGCAAGAAGAAATTTCCTAGCAGAATGTTTTCCCAGGAAGATAGTGGCCTTCCCCTCTCCCACCCAGGATATTCTGAGCACAAGGTCACTTAGCTCAGCCCAGCCAGCCACCTGGTACAGGCTGATAAAGATGGCCTAACTCAAGAACAGTGGCCTCTCTAAAAACAAGAAAAAAAAGCTGACTTAACAGAATGTGAGGGAGCAAAAGTCCTTGTACCTGTGTCAAAGCATCTTCAAACATTCTCTTTGTATTTATGCCTTTAAAAGCTTACCCCACAGAGGAGATACAACTCCTCTCTACCTTGTTGCAACAGGGATGGAGATGAGTTCCAAACATGTTTGTATTATGCTGATTAAACCTTGCTTATTACAGTCTGGGCCTCTCTGGTGGTCTCTCTCTGAGGGTTGTGATCTGGGCACAACAGTGACAATCACAGACTCAAACATCTCCCCTTATTTAACTGTCTCTACTATCTGTGGTCATTTGGACCACTCTAGCTGAGCCCCAGCAGAACTCAGTTGTATATTCTGGGCTTTGCCAGAACTCCTGATACAGAAAACCATGACTGTAATAAAATATTGTATGTCCTCAGATTTCAGAGTGACTTTTAATAGAGGAACAGGCGACTCAGTTGCCTCAGTTGACTTCTTCAGGGAGAACCAGTTAACAACCGATGCAGGCACTGGCAAGTGTGAGAAGCACCGCTGCACTGCTGACCATATAAACATAACAAAGTGCATCTCACCACTCTGCTGATGTGAGCGTCTCTCAAATCTCTGCTCACATTTTATCTTCAACAATATAATAGGTCAAATTTTTCATTGTGATTTTCATACAGTGCTCAGCGTGGAAGTAGTGAGTCATTTCAATATGCTCAGAACGATGTCTAGTGATATCCATCTTTTTCATTTTCTGACAATGTCTCAATTGCGCTGTTGGTTATTTGATGTTGGTTTGTAGAGGTTCACTGTTGGCTCAAATGGTGGACAGCTTGTCTTGTCCTCTTCAATTTAGAAAACAAACTTCTAGGTTCTTCCACTGCTAGTTTATTATAACGAGTATCTAGAAGAACGTTAATAGTGACTGTGACAGCGGTATCATCTTTCTGGTGTCCATGGCATGACATCGATGTTTCTTCATAAACAAGATGGCGACTGTGGTTGAGATGGAAAATTTTGCTACAGGTAGGAGGGTAACGGTTTATCAGAGTTTTAGCCTCTTTAACTACTGTCTGGCAGCTGAGGAGGTGGTCAGTCTGCACTACTTCACAGCTCTGGAATACTTTAAGTTATATGGAAATCTTTTCAAATATTGAATCTTGTTTGCCCCCATAAGACATCTCAATTTTTTAAGACTCTGCTAGACTCTGTTGGTTGTTCATTTAGTTTTTGGCAATGACATTAATAAGTGATCTTATCTACTAGTATAGAGCAATTCTCTACATTTTAAAAATTCAATTGATTATTGTTATGTGTTTGGTGTTTTTCCTGTATGTCTGTGCTCCACATGCATACAGCACCCATGGAGGCCAGAAAAGGGCATCAGATCCCCAGAACTCGAGTTATAAATGGTTGTGAGCTGCCATGTGGGTGCTAGGAATTGAACCCAGGTCCTTCACAAGAACATCAAGTGTGTTTAGCAGCTGAGCCATCTCTCCGGTCCCCAGTTCCTCTCTCTCTGATCACCTTAGCTGCATCTGAACCTGTTTTAGGAAAGCACAGATTTCATTTCATGTCCAGATATCTCAACCATAGTACTTTTCTGACTGTTCTTCCACCCTGGAGGGATTCTGCTGCCATCTTTCCAGAAAGTAAGACTTTCTTATCACAACCTCCCCCTCTGACTTTCTCAGCTAGGCATAGCATTGAAGAGACTTCACCATGGTGAATGTTATTAGGAAGAATTCTGGGGTGGGCTGAGAGTTACAGGGGCTCTACTGATGGTGGTGGCAGTGAAAACACTTCTAAGAAGAGATAATATTGTTTGCAGTGAAGCTGAAAAATTAAAAGTGAGTAGGGAAAGGGATTAGATGTGTTTCTTGGAAGAAACAGAGCATACCCCAAGATAAGAGGCAGCAAGACACTCTCAGGTCGTCAAAGGAGTCAAAGGGCAGCGAGATCTACAGCGAATGGCAGGACATGGAGCTGGGTTCGGTCAGACAGGTCCTGACATTTTTCTTATGGAAAATAAAAAATCACCTCAGGGTTCGTCATGTCCCTTCCCCTCACTGTGCTTCACAGAAACTGGTTTCTGATTCTCTTACTGGGACCCTCTTCCACTTCTCGGCCTCTTCACCCACCTCCTCAGTGCATGCAAACAGGTGATTGTGGTCCAAGTGAGCAGAGGAGCCTTAGCTGAGACCTCTGAGGATGCTCAGCGGCTTCTCGCCTGCTCTTTTTTCCATTCAGAAGCACATCAACAACTACCACTTCCTCCCCAAACATGCTGTGGAAGCCCCCTTCTATTTTGACTTCTTATCCTTCCTAAGTTCAACTTTGTTGTAAGATGAACTCTATGGTTAGGTGGTTGGCCACGCGTGAAAAGTAACTGTTTCCGGTTCGACGTGTGAAGAAAACCGTAAGATGGTGGCTACAAAGTCCTCACGGATGGCAGAGAACTGTCCTTTTCTGTGTGAGCAGGGGGCGAAAAATCCCAGCCACTCACTGGCCTCAAGTTCCTGAGTAAACATTTTCCATGAACGATGACAGACAAAGCAAAAATAAAGCTCGCGTAGGGACTGCGAGAAAACTCAAAGCAGCTGAGTAAAATGAAACGAAACTGACCTAGGCTTCAAGGACTCAAGTCCCTAAATGGTGGGCATTGCTGGAGTCCTGCTGAGACGACCCAGGGCCTGTTACTCCTGGACACACAGCACCAAGAAAAGAGATGGGATCTGCACTCCTAACACTGAGAGCCTGGGCTTGAATACCACCTACTTAAGATGCAGCGCTCAAATAGAACACTCTAAAATAAAAACGCTTGGGAGAGAATTGTTTCTTTGGAAAGTGTGCAATTCTATTCTTGTGTTTCATCAAAAATTACTGATGGCCTTGTTCTCATATTCTAATCAATCTTCACAAAGGACACAGAAACTGAGCAAATATTGAAAGTGCCATCCCGTCCGGAAGACCAAAAACCCGAATTCACAGAGCCGTGGGCACCTAACACCCGCTCGTCAAGTGGGATGTGGTATTCATTAGAGCACTGACCCTCAGACATGAGGTTCAGGGCAGTTTCTCACAGCAAGTGTGGGGAGATGCTTTCTCCTCTCTCCCTATCCTTGTGTACCAACCCAAAACTATGCTCTGTGTGTCAGTAACTCATTTCCTGTGGGGGACAGAAGCTCTGCGGAGTTAAGATTAACCAACCCTGGATGAGGGAGTCCGAAGAGTTACAAAAGAAAGCATGGAGATGATTCCCAGGGGAGACATGAATGTGTGATGGTCATAGTGGTTAAGAATTTAATTCTGAAATCCAGAACAAATGTGTCTGTACTGTCCTAAGACCATAGATTCTCCTTTAACAATAACATAAGAATTACAAACTGATAAAGGACTATATTTTGGCTTTTCTATTTGTGTGATTAACATCTCACAGAAGCAGCTTAAAGGAGCAGTGTGTATTTCGGGTCACGGCTACAGAGGCATTTCAGTCCATCAGAGCGGGGACGGCAGGGCAGGCACAGGGAGCTAAGTGCAGAGTGTGTGACCCGGTCTGGGAGCCTGACCCTGAGTCTTCACTCTGGTTCAGTGAATTCCTGGTTCTGCTACCTCTGAAGTTTGCTGGTGGCTGTAGGAATGGGACAGCAGGGAGGGAGATGAAGAAATGCTTAGAATGGATGAAAAAAATACACTACTTACGAAAAATATGCCACACTTTCAAAAGAATTTTCTTAATTCCTTCAACAATCTGGCTGAGTATGCTATTCTCTGCTTCTTGTCTTATCTTTTGGTCATATTTTTCCCTAATTGCCTGTACCATTTCCTCTTTTTCCTGAGCACTAAGTTTCCCGAGAGCATACTCTTCCTCTACTATTCTAATTTCAGTCCGTTCTTGCTCAGTGTAAAGTCGCCTCAGGAGCTCTACTTGGCTCTCCAGCCTTTGCTCGGCATCCTTGTAGATGGCTTCAGAGAAGTAGACTCCGCCATTGCTCTGCACCGTGGCTTCGACCAGCTCCACCAGCTCCTGCACCTGCGTTTCCTGCTCAGCCTTCCCTGCTCTGTTGTTGATGGCCAGGCAGCGGTCACCACACTCCTTGATGATGCTTTTCAGGTTTGTGTCTGAACTTTCTAGGAAGTCCTTTAGGCTCTGGTCCTCCAGCTCGTCCTTGCGGGTGAACAAGACAACCATGTACTTCCTGGCTGCCTCCCCAAAGGTAGCCTTGATCCTAATAGCAGTTTCTTGCTCTTCCTCCGTGTTGCGACCCAGCTGCAGTACCAGGATGATGGTGTGAGGCCCAGGGCAGGACTGGAGGACACACTTGCTGATTTCAATGCAGGTGGTTTCCAGCTTGACCTTGGTGTCAAAGAGCCCTGGGGTGTCAACAAGCAAGAGTTCTCTCTCCTTCCACTTGCGGGATGCTTTCTGACAAGTCTTAGTGACAGCATGGGGTGAGATTCTAGAATCAAATTTCCTTTGCCCCAGGATAGTGTTTGCTTGGCACTTTTACCACTCCCTGTCTTTCCTACCAGAACAATCCTCAGAGAGCTGTCACTGGGCTCAGCTATGATCTTCTCAGAAGGTTCTGGACTCCATGGGTCTTGAGCACATGTCAAAGGGAAGAAAGTGGTGTAGATAAACTGGAAGCCACTCTGACCCTTCCAACCTTTCGGTCTTTCCCCTCTGCCAAGGTTCTCATACTCAGGGGCAATCGCAGATAACTGTGGGGTTTAGCAGCACAAAGTGTTAGGAGTCAACTAGCTCGGGACTGTAGATGACCATCCCACTCTAAGGAGAAAACAGAGACGCTAATGTCTAGCTTTTGAATCACAAGTGTAACTATGCAGAAATATGCCCTTTCAGGTTTGAACCAAGTGGATACAGACAGTGAGAGAGTTCAGGGAACCATGAAAGACATTGCAAATTACTTCTTAAGCTCCTCATCAAAATGCTCAGCTTCCCATAGTGTCTCAGAACAATTTTATTAGTAATTTTGAGTCTCAGGTGACTGGAGAATTCCAATGCTATTCTACTCTCCAAAACCCAGAGAAGGAAAGAGCTTCCACATGCCTTCCAGGAGACAAAGGAAACTCACAGGCCAAAGCTGACAATGATTGAGGAAAAATGCAAGTAAATATCACATACAATTATCGTTGCTAAATCCTAATAGAATATTAGCAAGATTCCCGTGGAATTCATAAACATGGCACATTATGGCAAAGCGGGTTTCCGTAGAGTGCCTGGGCTCAAGAGGAGGACGTTATTACCATAACCCACAGCCTGAGCTCACATTGTAGGACATTGTAGGAAATGTGGGCTGATGCAAGTTTCCCATATGTTTATCCTTCTCTCTTTGTCTCCATCTTATCCACTGAATCCCCAAGCTAGCAACTTAGTGGGGAAAATCTTTTCTACTAGAGTCCAGAAGTTTCCACCTCACTTTCTCTAAGTATCTGAAGAATTATACAACTCAAATAGAGAGAATGAGAAACAGAGAGACAGTTTCACTATCCACTGGAAAACTGCAGATAAAATACTCTATCAAATATTAGGCTGTATCCAGCATTCTGTTCCTTGCAGGCATATGGATCAGCATATAAAAAGTAGCATTGAATAAATGCCTAAATAAATTACAAATATAATGAATAATATATCATTAAAAGTGCAAAAGTTAAAGTCAACCCTGAGCACTAGAAATTATATAAATACAGTACTCAGATATGAAATTCTCAGAGAACTAAACACACACGCACATACGAAGAGTGTAGATAGGGAAAACGAGAGGCTGGCGGGATACTTGGGTGTCTTTCCTGATTCTGCCTGCTAAGCCAGAGCAGTAAAACAAGCCCATCAAGAGATCTGATCTTGGTATCTAAGTTCCACCACTTAGTGAAAGGTCCCTAGACAAGGGGTAAGTCCAGCATATATTTCTCATCCATACATTTAGCGGAAGTCTGGACGTACAGCAGCATATTCTGTCGGTAAACGTGTGGGGAGGGCAGAAACTGTCAGACAGCAGATGGGGAAGCTAAGCCACACAGCTCTGTGAAAGGCCATCACTGAAGGATTTGCTCAGGGTACCACAATATCAAATCTGAGGATGTACCCAAGGACACACTGAGAACAATACAGAGAGAAGTGTGCTCGCTCGTGGGAGTGATGACTGTAAAAGGCAAAGCAAAGGATGATCCCATTTGCCCTGACTAGGAGACTGGTGGACTAACTCACACGCACACAGAGGATGTGCTCTGTCCCATGGGACGTCACAGAGCATCTGTCCAGGACCAGGAGGTGGGGAAATGGGCACCTCACCTTCTCTCTCTGTGTGTGTAGTATTCTCTCTAGTAAAGAGTTATGGGTGTGTATGCATTTTCCAAGTACACTTCACTGTGCACTGCTTCCACACATGTGCACACTTCATGGGAGTCTGGATGGAGAATTGATTTCTTTCCTGGTTCTATAGGTAAGAAAACTGTTGTTCCAACATGCCCAACACCTGCCATAGGTCCCCTTACTCACACCGTCTAGGGCAGGCACTGAAGACCAAGACCCTCTGACTCCACCAAACTCCCTCATAACCAAGCACTAAGCAATTGCTTCCTGGGTCATCCTCAGGTCATGATTCTAAAGGCTGGTGGACGTCACACCAGATGTGCTACCAGGAACAAGAGGGGCGAGAACAGTCCTCCCTCTAGGAAGAGGAGCTGTGCACAAGTGTACCCTAGGGATGCCAGGTGAGGGCCACCCATCTCTCAGTTGTTTGTTTTTCATACTAACAAGCCAAGCTTGGGAGACAGAAACGCTCATTTCAAAACTTTCTAGAATGTTTCTAGGAAGACCCCGAGAACCCGAAGCTCAGAAGTGAACAGAGAAAGTGCCCAGAAGACGACAGAGATAGATCAGGGCCTGGGCCACTCTGGAGAATCCCTACACCCTTTGAGATGCAGTTCCCTCCACTTGTAAACGGACTGTGCAACCAACCCATCAGACTGGCTCTGGGACTCCCTGGGGCAAGTTCTGTAAAGATCATACGCAGTGCTGAGTGTGACCACCACTCAAGATTGAGGCACTTGCTGTATAAGGCTGTTTGTATGAAGAAAATTTGCAAAGGGCAGAAGCCATAGCTCAATGGCACGGCATTGGCCCAGTGTGTGCATGGCCCTTTGTTGGATTCCCAGCATCATGAAAGAGGACCCAGATGGCAAACACTGCAGCTCCCAGGCTCAGTCAGAACTACAGGCACAGGGTCCTTCAGCACAGCCTGTCCTGTTCTAGAGCTCACATCCTCCACTGCAGCCCCCATACTTTCAGGGTCATGGCCTCTTTCCTGAGAAGCACAAGGTGGATCCAGACGTGGAGTCAGCAACAGGATTTCAGTCTTGCCCACTTTGATGTCCCTCTGACAGTCATTGGTACACTGAGATTTGATGTGGGCAATTGAAGGGAGTTAGGGCACATTCACACTTGGTGACCTGCCTCCTAGTTCTGAAGATCTGCCTCAGGCAGCAGTGACATCTTAAGGAAAAGTGATGGGTTTTCAGGCAACCACATCTAATGACATGGGTAGAAACCACCTATCAAGCAAGTCTTCCTTGTTAGTCATGAGATGATAGACCGCACACTAGGCAGTCTCAGTATCCTTCCAGGACCTCTCAACCTCATGCCCTGAGTGCCTGGGCTGCACCATGGCCATCATACCCAGTCCCCGTCCCACATGCTCTGTGTCCTCCGTCCCACCCGGCTCACCTTCTCCTGCAGGACCGTTGAGTTCCCACAAGGAAGCTAGTTGTACGGCCACTCCTGCTACCGTCCTGCAGGCCCTGAGCATAGAAGCTGGAGGGGTGGGGCCAGGGCAACAGGTTTCAGTCTGAAGAACAGAGGAAACAGCTCTGTGCTGTGGTTGAACCTTCAGGTTAGGGCTAGGTGAAACTCTTTCGTACTTGCTGTGAGACCGAGTCACAACCAGTGATTATGTTTGATGACGTTGGCTCTGAAGACCCCGTTCAGGGGTCCACATGCAGCCTAGCGCACTTTATCATCTGCTGTAGGACTGCATGCTGCTCTTTGCAGAAGTGTGACCCTGATGTCCAAACCGAGAGGACTGCTAACAACTGACAGGGCTCAGATGAGCGCCCGCCAGCCCTAGCCACACTTGACGTTCACTTTGATCTGAGCAGTAACCTCCTGAAAGGTCATCCTCCACGCTCGGGTAGCTCCTAATCAATGATTGATCAGCATGGAGATAGAAAGGCACTTCCTTTAGTGCCTGTTTGAGACAGGGCCAGAGTTGCACCCAAGCTCCGGCTGAACTGACTCTCTGGGTCTTCTTGACACTAATCACAGCCCGGTGTTTTCTGTTTACTTCAGTGGCCTAAAGTGTTGGCCCTCGAAGCCATCATCAGTCCATTGGCATCTACGTATCTCCATGTAACTATCTGTTACACGTGTTGGGATGTGTACTCATCCTAGGAGCTCCAGAAAGTTCTATCTAACCATCTCATCTGAGCTGAGGGCTCAGTTTGGGGGAGGGTCCAGGCTTAACTTTTACTCAGGTTGTGGTACTTGAGGCAGTCCAGGGTGACGTCAGTGATTACCTCTTGCAGTGTAATTATTTTAGTCTTTTGAGAAGCTGATTCTGTTTGTGGGTTACCTACATTTCTACATAACAACTAGCTTGCTATCCTGTTTATTTCTGGTAGGTGTGTACCTAGAAGTAGAGCAGCCATAGGCTGTGTGTGCGGCTATTCCTGGATAGATAGGAACAAAAGCTTTATTCACCCCAGATAGGACACCAATGACAGATCACAGAAAGAATTCCAATCACAGCTCTTAGTGAAGCAGTCAGTTTATCAGGGTTCCTTATATGGGCGAGGACTGACCTCCAGGAGCATAGATGACTCAGAGGCAGCTGCCTCACTGAAAAAGCCCATCCCATCATGCGGCGGCTTTCTTGACTCACGAAAGTTGCATTCCTGAGGCTCTCTGAAAAATTTTTCATCGATCCTTCAGAAAAATTTGGTCTTCCCAGTGAGTATTGTGGCCAGCACAACCTTGAGTGGACCTCCAGAAGTCTTGTTAGTTTCAGGATCTTCCTGTGTCTTGTAAGTTGTTTGTTTTACTTCCTAAGTCTTATGAGCATCTCTCCTCCTTCCTTATGGAAATGTTTCAATTCAGAGGAAATTGTTACATCACAGAGGTTAAAAACTCTGACAAGCCCAGAAGCCATGCTAAGGGGAAAAGGAGAACTCACTCTTATACAAGAACTTGCTCTAGGGAGAACATTCTCAGGTCCCAAAGCTACCTTAGTACTTTCTGGGGACACACTCCCAATGACTAAAAGTCCTCCATGGCAGTCTATTCCCTCTTTTATTAACAGTTTACACACAGCTTTTAGCTGTTCTTACCCCTCATGGCCCTCTCATTCTGCTCCCTCTCTCAATGAAGCCTTCTACTTTCTCCAAGTCCCCTCTACTTTCACATCTTCTTGCTGTGTGTGATACAGAGTTTGGTTAGAGTTGCTTGCATGAGCCTGGGTTATTTTAAGGAGCTTTGACAACGTATCATTGCTATACCACTGAAGAAAACGGTACCCTCCTTTCTAGCCATCTCTTACTGCCATTAGTTCTTCAGAGAGAGGTGGGGATGAAATGTTGATGGGTTGATGGGCACAGCCTTGTTCTTGTTCTGTGCTGTGAATTCATGAGTACAAAGGCCATACAATATCCAAAAGTCTTTTTTTTCCCATTCTCTGGTACTTATATTCTTTCCACCTCATTCCATGAGCCTTGGGAGAGATGGCATTGTCCTTCCATTTAGGGCCATAAATTCCATTATTACTCATTCTTGATGACCAGCAATGAATGCACGCATTAACTGTTGTTATGGAAAATAGAAACTTCTCTGACTGGGGCTGAGATAAACACTAAGCGGTGGATACAAGCATGAGTATTTAGAGACAGCTTGGCAACAGGACCATTTAGGAAAACCGTAGTAGAAAGCTTCCCCCAAGGCCTGTGCCCTTGTGTGCCACAGTTCCTGGCCAGGTAAACACTACCTGGCGTAGGTTCTCTCATATGGAGTGGCCTCAAACCCAAGGAGAAAGCATTTGCAGCCCTGATAACAGTCATACCGCTTTCACAGCGGAAGGCACACATTGCCTGACAGGTCATTACTGTGGCTGCAGGATCCATGGTCGGCTTTATCTCTTAAATGGACCATTAGCTGTTAACACCTTCACTCCAAGGACCAAAACTTCCAATGAATAAACCTCTGGGAGACATTTAAACCAAATCCAAGCCTTAGAAGTATCTAAATAGATGCTCAGATTGTATTTCTTTGGGTTGACTAGCCACCATGAATCTTATTTGTAGATGTTCTAACATTTAATTACCTTAGCATTCTTACCTAGCAATGAAGGGCTGTTCAGTTAAAGAATTGTGCTGATATTTAGTTATCATATCCGTGTGTGTGAGTGTGTGTGATGTGTGTGTATGTGGAGTGTGTGTGGTGTTTATGTGTGCTGTGTGTGTGTGTGTGGTGTGTATGTGTGGTGTGTGTGTGTGGTATGTATGTGTTGTGTGTGTGGTGTGTGTATGTGTAGTGTGTGTGTGGTGTGTATGTGTGGTATATGTGTGTGCAGTGTGTATGTGTAGTGTGTGTATGTGTGTTGTGTTTATATGTGGTGTATGTGTGTGATGTGTGTGTGTGGTGTATATGTGTGTGGTATGTGATATGTGCGTGGTGTGCATGTGTGTGTATGTGTGGTGTGTATGTGTGTGTGTGTATGTGTAGTGTGTGTGTCCATGAGTGAGCCTGCCATCGCTGAATCAAAGCAGTTGGTGTATTTCATTGTTTATCTTCTGTTGACCTGCATAAAGGGATCACAGCTTAATATAAAATAAACTGTTTATCAAGATCTTTTTAGGAATAGGTACTTTCTTTGATAAGCAATTTGATAGCAGTTTTTCCCATCATTAGTGAAGAGAAGTCATGGAATGCTTAAGAAACTGAAATAATTCCAGCAAGGACACGGAACCAACATAGAGATCTCAGCCAGTCTTCTGCATTGTACGCAAACCTGTAAGAAAGATGTCAGCCAACAGTCCCGTTCACTACATCCAGAAACAAACAAGCAAACAAAAATGAAATAAACACAACCAAGTTAAACTGGATCCTTGAACAGAGAGGTGAAAGACCTTGCCAAAACCCATTTAAGACAGTGAAGATATTGAAGGCGATCCCCCAAGCCCTGTGTGTGAGGGCACATGTACACACAGATGGGGCTTCCTCTAGGATCCTGGATTAGGTACAAATAGCACCAAACACCTGTTTTCCCAGAGAGATCCTTTATTAAGCAGGGAAGAAAAGTTACAGTGACTGCTCTCGGACTCAGGCCGGAAACAGCAGCAAATGACCTTGCAGGTGTCATTTTTTAAGAGGAGAAAAGGAGAGGGGTCTGTGTTAGAATGGACTAGGATGTGGTGGTAAAGGAGAGGGGACAAGGGAGAAGGGGAAGGGGTGGGGAAGAGGTAGGGATATTTGTTCTGGAGGGACAAAGGACTGCCTCTGGACAGAAGGGAGACTACGCAGCACATAGAAAACGGCCATTTATAAAGGTAAAGGGAGACCCCCCCATGTTAGAATGAGGTGTTTAATTTTGATTGGGCATGTTAATTGGGTGAGCCAAGGTGGGCTTTTGGTTGCTGGACGGACTTTAGTACTTGATAGTGGACCTTAGTAGTCAGCCTCGGGAAGAGGAAGTGGCCAAATAAGGGAATAGACCTGGTGGCTGCCTTCAGGAATGTGATCTAATGGTTTTTAGCAAAGCAGAGGGAATGGGAAGAAGGAAGGACAAGGCCTACCGGAGCCACGTGTTCAATGGGTCAGTGTCCCTCCAGCTGTTAGAGAGCTCGCTGACAATGGAAAGCTCTCCCATGCGCACAGGTTGGCAGAGTTAACTCTGTAAAAACTGCAACACTGTTGAAAGAAATCTACAAAAATACAATCCCCATCAAAATTCTAAGGACCCTGGGCAGAGGTGTCCCTCACCTTTAATCCCAGCACTCCGGAGGCAGAACAGGTGAATCTCTGAGTTCAAGGCCAGCTTGGTCTACAGAGTGAGTTCCAGGACAGCCAGGACTACCCAGGGAAACCCTGTCTCGAAAAACCAAACAGCAACAAATTTTAATGACGTTCACCACAGAACTAGGGAGAAAGGAAAAAACTTTCTATGGGAGCAGAAAAGATGATGAAGTCAAAAGAGCAATGGTGAAGACACCACAGCACCTGATTTCAAACCATAGAACAGAGCCACAGCAATGAAGACAGTGCGGTACTGTCACAAAAACAGACATGTAGATTATGAGTTACAGTAGAGGACCTAGAAATAAACTACACAGCTACAGGCACCTCAAATTTTGTGTCAAAAACACAAATTAGCAAAAAGCCACTTCAGCAAACAGTAATGACAAACTGCACATCCACACACAGAAGAATGGCGTGGGGTGCTTGACTCTCACTCCATAACAAATTACAAAATGAGCTGGGCAGTGGTGGTGCACACATTTAATCCCAGCACTTGAGAGGCAGAGGCAGGCAGAGCTCTGTGAGTTCAAGGTCAGCCTGGTCTACAAGAGCTAGTTCCAGGACAGGCTCCAAAGCTACAGAGAAACCTTGTCTCAAAAAAAAAAAAAAAAAAAAAACTTAGAAAATGGATCAAAGACAGTGAGAGAGCTAAAGCCTGGACACTATAGAGAAAAGCTGAGCTTCAAGATGGTTTTGTAGGAAAGAACATCGGAAAGACTCTCACAGCACAGACACAACCCCAGGACCCGGCCAGGGGATTAC